CGATCCTCACACGGGGCACAATACTTTTGCTCGCTTTTTTCACTCATTCTAGAAAGATGGGTCTTACTCGCTTGAGGACGTAAGCCCCTCGGGAAGATACCCACTCTACCTCTAGCGCTACGAGCCCGGGTACCCAGGAGGTACGCTCATCCCGCCATCCCGCCCTCCACCAGGGGTCCTGCCCTGGCTCTTGAGCCCTGTTGGTGGCGGGGATGTGTACAGCCCAGGGTGAGGGACCCCTGGGGTGCTCGCTGTCCCGGAGGGCGCTGAGGACGCCGCTGGGTGCAAAGCCCCCTAATGGAGGCCTCTGGGGGAGTAGCTGGAACCCAAGGTTTCCCGGGGAGGGTCCTGATTATTGACACTTGGCCGCGAGGAAGGGTGGGTCTAGGCGACTGTGGGGAAGTGTGTTGAGAAGCCAGACCGCGCACGGGGGCTGAGCACGGTGTGAGCAGGTCGGGTTGCAGAGCTGGGAAGTGGCCGGCTGTGATGGGGTCTGGGGGAGGGCGGTGTTAGGGAGGTTGTTCAGGCAGCAGCCCGGGCATAACCTGACATGGACTGTGCTAACGCTGCGTTTCCAACTGCTGCTGCGTCCTAATGTTCATCCATGAAGTTTCTGATAATTCAGTCATTCTAAACAGGTCAAATAGCAAATTAAATTAAGATCTGATTTAATAGGGCAGAACCCCTGTACCCTATTGCAAGTTAATCACCTCAAGGATGTTGCCTATAAGCTTAAATTATACACAATGGCCCATCTGTGGGAACCCTGCCTCCAAGGTAATAAGCATTAAGCTGAAATACCTTTATTTAGCTCACAAGAAGTCTCCTGACCAGGCCCACCTGTTCAGGAGTGTAGGCAGAAGAAATTAGCACAGCCTCTTCTGAAGGCTAACCAGAACCGGAAATATTTGGCTTCACGCCCTCCCCTTTTAGTATAAAAGAAGCCTGAATTCTAGCTCAGGTAAGGTGGATCTTTGGAGTCCACCATCTTCTTGGTTTGGTGGCTTTCTGAATAAAGCCGCTATTCCTTGTCCTAGCAACTCCTCTCTCCATTTGTTGGCCTGCCTTGCCTTGCCACTCATGGCGAGCTGGCAGTTGGGGATTTTGGGGGTAAGGCCCTAGCAGCTAGCAAGACCACTTGTCCTGAGGCTCTTCCTGCAAAACTCCCCAAAGCCGCACTGGTTGTTCCAGCGCTGGGTAGTTGGAGCAAGGAATCAATATTTGGGAGCAGACAGGCTCCAAACAGTAAGGTAAGTCTCTCTGAGGGTGTGTACAGTTGGGAGCTTTATTTCTTCTCCTTTTGGGGCTTTTTCTCTGGAATAAGTCAATTTGTCTTGTCTTTGAGTGGGATACCCTGTTGGGGAGAGGAAAGAATTGGACTTCTGCCTAATTTGTGAACCGGTTCATTTGTTTCTTCGGATGCTAGCCTTTATGTATGCAGTTTATGTTTTGCTTGTCTTTAATTCTTTTTTTTTTTTTTTTAATTTTGCTAAGCAGGGTCTCAGTTGGGGCACTCAGGATCTGTAGTTGCTGACCAGAGATTGAACCCCAGCCCTCTGCATTGGGAGCTCAGAGTCTTAGCCTTTGGATAACCAGGAGAAGTACCTGTCTTGGATTCTTTAATGTGTTTGTTTGTCTGGTCCGGGTCTTAGTTATAGCACGCAGGATCTTTGATCTTCTTGCTGCACGTGGGATCCTTAGTTGTAGCATTCAAACTCTTGGTTGCAACAAGTGGGCTCTAGTTCCCTGACCAGGGATTGAATCTAGGCCCCATGCATTGGGAGCATGGAATGTTTTTGATATTTGGACAGACTTTCCAAAGATCAAAATCTAAATGAAGTTCATTCAGCCACTATCTAACTTTGAGGTTTTCCAAACTATCCCTGGAACTCCTAAAATTATGTGTCTCCATTTCAGAGAGAGGATTATTAAACTAATTAGGCTTATTTGGTGTGTTAAATCACTTGGGAAGCATTGTCAGATAAGTGGTGGTAAAACTTCTTACTTTGTATTGTATGGGTAAACAATTATTATTTAATAATATACACATCTTAGAAATTATATGAAACTCCTACAATTCTGGTGTGTGCTAGTAAATGATATCAGGCATAATTTTAGTAATTATCTTACACTGTATGTCACAGCAGTAACCATGTTTCTTTTCAATTGCATTGTAATTTGACTGATGCCAAAGCAAAGAGGCATCCCTTAGGTAAGCAATTGCTATTTATGGTTCTACAGTGGCTTTTGAAGGACTCTATAGCTATTTTGTGAAGAAGCAGGGAAGAATGATGAAATCTTTTATGTGCAAGCATTTGTGCTATTACATCAGGGGAAGTAAGAAAAGGAAGGGAATGAAAAAGAGAGTGAGGATACATTGCTTCAGAATTTAACTCCTCCAGGTGAGCTAGCTGTCCAAGCCACTCTGGCCTCTATGCCAATATATCTACCCCTGCTGGTGGCTCAGCGGTAAATAACCCATCTGACAATGCAGGAGCCATGGGTTCGATCCCTGAGTCAGGAAGATCCCCTGGAGAAGGAAATAGCAACCCACTCCAGTATTCTTGCCTGGAAAATCCCATGGACAGAGGAGCCTGGTGGGCTATAGTCCCTGGGATCGCAAAGAGTCAGATATGACTTAATGACTAAACAACAGCAATCCAACCCTTCCATCACCTTCCATGCCTGTCCAGACTCAATTCCTGACCCTAGGGCTCTGGGGCTCAGGATTTCCCCTTCTTCTAGGACTCAATTAGAAAAGCCTGTGTTAGTAGTGTCTGGGGCACAGGAACTTGGCTTGGTGTCATCATCTAAGACCCAACAGGGCATCCAATTTGGGCCAAGAGCCATTCCCTGGGCAGGGCAATTTTCATTGCCATTATCTCATAGAGAGAGCTAAATGCGGATGACTTACCAGCTGCGTTTGTCAGATTTGTTTAGTTGGAAAGATTACAATCCTTCTTTATAGAGAGGATTCTCTATACTTGAAGCTACAGTATGCCTGAAACTAGCATGATATTGTAAATCAACTACTCTTCTCTTTGAAAAACAGAAAAACAAGAGATTTTGAGTCTGGGGATGAGTCTATGTGTGTTAGTCACTCAGTCATATCTGACTTTGTGTGACCCCTTGGACTGTGTAGCCCACCAGGCTCCTCTGTCTATGGAATTCTCCAGGCAAGAATACTGGAGTGGGTTGCCATTCCCTTCTCCAGGGGATCTTCCCAACCTAGGTATCGAACTTGCATTGCAGGCAGACTCTTTATCATCTGAGCCACTAGGGAAGTCCAGCGATGAGTTCAGGTTTGGAAAATGGGCGACAGGCAAGGCTCTCCATTGTGGTGATGTAATCGAGCAGGACTCCATGGCACCTTCCTGAGATAGACTTTCCATGTCCTCTGCTTGCTTGCTTCTTTTTTTTTTTTTTGTCATTTTAAAAGAATCATTTTCTCTGCTTTCTTCTTATCTGTAGAAAAACTTTACCTCCCCCAGTTCAAAGAGTGAATTTACTTGGAGAAGTGAGAAAACGCAGAATTAAAGGAAAACAGTCAAGCAAGACAAATCATGGGTCCATTAGACAAATGCAACGACCTTTAGCTCCCCATCAGAGGCCATAGATAACAATAAGTCAAAGTTTTTGAGCTGTTCAGCAGATGCTGAAAGCCCCAGCAGGTGGAAGAGTTAACTGTATGCTGCCCACAAGCACATAAAACCCAGATAGGTTGGAACCAGAAGGTTGATGTTACTCCTGATTACCTCACCACCAACCAGTCAGAAGAATGTCCTGATTGGTAACAGGGTTGTGGGGTAAGCTGATCATATATCCCACAACCCTCTTCCTCACCCCATCTTTAAAACCGTTCCCTGAAAGCTATGGGGGGAGTTTAGGCCTTTAGAACATTAGCTGCCTAGACTCCTTGCCTGGTGCCTTGCAATAAACACTGTGCTTTCCTTCACCACAACCTAGTGTGGATAGATTGACTTTACTGCATGCAGGTGAGTGGTGGACCCAATTTTGGTTCAGTAACAATGACTCAAATCTGGTTTTGGGCCACCAGGTCTTAAGATTTCCTGTTAGATATATCAAGCAATATTTAGTAGGCTTCTTATCTGTTTCATTCTTGGGGAAAACATAATCTTTGATAGCCAAGAATCACTTAATACTTCTTCTCTGCTGCCTGCAGCTATAAATGGTGATCTTGGTGGCTCAGACAGCAAAGAATCTGTCTGCAGTGTGGGAGACCCGGGTTTGATCCCTGGGTTGGGAAGATCCCCTGGAAAAGGGAATGGCTACCCACTCCAGTATTCTGGCCTGGAGAATTCTATGGACAGAGGAGCCTGGTGGGCTATAGTCCATGGGGTCCCAAAGAGTTAGACACAATTGAGCGATTAGCACTTGGCAGTTAAGCCACTATCACTTGGCTTCTCTTCATGAATCCATACCATCATCCCCACTGAAATTAAGAAGCATATCAATAGGCATCTTCTTTAAAAAAATTAATGTTATTTTTGGCTCACTGGGTCTTCGTTGCTGTGCATGGGCATTTTCTAGTTGCAGCTAGTGGGGGGCTACTCTTCGTTGCCGTGGGCTCTGGCTTCTTATTGTGGTGGCTTCAGTAGTTGTGGTATGGGGCTTAGTTGCCCTGAGGCGTGTGGGCCCTTCCTGGACCAGGGATCAAACCTGTGTCCTGTGCATTGGCAGGTGGATTCTTAACCACGGGACCACTAGGAAAGTCCAACAGGCATCTCTTGTCACAGAGTTTTCCAAATTTGCAGATACTCACTTCACTCGGTGCCTTAAGAAGGAAGTGTCTTTAGGGCTGAGCTTGAAGCTGGGAAGAGAATGAAGTTCATATGTGATAGATCCACTCCTCTGTTGGTGCCTTTCTATAGCTTCATCTACATCACACTAGGGAAATTCTGGCATCTCCGAGTGGTTAAGGAGGCCAACACTGAAGCCATTATTCTGTCAAGCAACCAGGTAAGCTGTTAGAGATGCTTTTAGTTGCACGAGAGTGCCCGTGATCCATTCATGGTCTGTGAGCTCCAAATGCCCTCTTCAGGGCCGGCCCTGCAACCGTGGATGGGACCCTTTCTGCGTCTCTTGTGTGCACGGTGGTAGGCTGCCCGTAGAGGGCGCTGGAGGACACTGCGGAAGGAATGGGGCTTCTCTGTCTCGCTCAAGAGGTGCTGCTTTCTTTCTTCTGGTTTTCTGCTTTGTGGTCCGGCGCGGGTGGAGTGTGTGGGGACACCCAGTGCTGCCCTGTCCAGCCGTGTGCCCGGAGCCCACAGTCTCTTAGAGACTTCACAGCCCAGCCTGATGACTGCTCTGCTGTAGTCTTCCTTGGCATGTTCCGTTCTGGTTCCAGAAGCAGCACCCTGGCCTGCCCTTAGCGCCTGGCCTCCAGCCTTGGTTTGTGGGTTCCCCAGCGGGTGGTTCCCCATTGTCCCCAGCAGGGGCCCTTGGCCTTCCTTTGTCAATAGAAATTGATGAGGACAGACAAGAACTTCCGGCCAGGCTTTACTGGGGCCCCTGCTGCAGCAGAAGGGGGTAAAAACAGGGTCCCTCGCGTGTTCCCTGAGGTGGGTGGTGAGCTTATTCCTTTCACGGGATGAGGGTAGGGGCAGGTCCAGGGGTCAGGCCACAAGGGTGGCTTAGGTGGTTTGCCTGCCCCTCTGGTGGTGCTGTGCTTAGGGAACATGTGCAGTACCCTGCTTTTTCTCCTGACATCGTTTTTGCTCTCAGCTCTCAGAAGTGGCAGTTGGGTTTTTTTAGTCTTTTTGTATCTTGTCCATAATTTGTCCCAGCTGGCATGTGTGCTAAGTCGCTTCAGTCATGTCCAGCTCTTTGCTTTCCTTCCCATACAGTCTGAAAATCCTGAATAAATGTCAAAGAATTCACTGAGTCAACAGTATTAAAACTCTTAGGGATGCACCATTTTCGACATTGCCAGAAGCGTAAAGGGATGTTGTGCTGTCACTGCAGTTGTGTCTGAGTCTGTACGACCCTATGACCACCCCCGCCCCCCGCCGGCTCCTCTGTCCATGTAATTCTCCAGGCAAGAATACTGGAGTGAGTTGCCATGCCCTCCTCCAGGGGATCTTCCTAACCTAGGGATCGAACCCACATCTCTTTCGTCTCCTGCATTGCCAGGCAGGTTCTTTACCACTAGCGCCACCTGGGGAGCCCCCAAATGTGCTTGCACAGTTATTTTGAGTCCCTTACAGCTTCTTTCTATTTTGTTGATGGAGACATTTGTCCAGGGGCAAGCACCGCAGCACAGGGTCTGGGTCCCAGCCTGTCTTACTGGACCCTCCCCTTCCCAACATGGCCATTGCTGGCCAGGCCACACACTGCCTACAGCACGCAGGGTCCTGACGCCCCACAAGCGTTCAGAGCGCCTGCACCCCAGAGACTTACTTTCTGCTGCCTGGGTGGGCACGTGGGCCAGCTCTGGCCTGGGCAGTCCACCAACCCCTCTGCTGTCCAGTGTCTGAACCTGAGCCTAGAGAGGGGTCTCTTTCTGAGCTTGTCCTTCTCTGGATACTTTCTCAGCCCTAGGTACCCTTTAGTATTTAAAAAAAATATATTTGGCTGCACTGGCTCTTATTAATAGTTGCCATACTCAGGATCTTTGTTATCACGTGTGCTTTTAGTTGGGGCATGCAAACTCTTAGTTGTGGCACATGGAATCTAATTCCCCGACCAGGGATCAAACCGGGGCCCCTTGTGTTAGATGCTCAGTCTTAGCCACTGCATTGCCAGGGAAGTCCCTCCTTTAGCATTTATATAGTATCATAGTTTAATAACTCTAGACTTCTGTTCAAATGATCTGGTTTATCTCCTGACTGGACTTAACGCTGATCTGAGATGAATCATTAAGAATGTTAAGTGCACCCACATTATTAAGTTAAGCCTTTGCCAGTCTTCATAGTTATTACTACTGTAACGGTCAAAGTGGAGTCACTGTGGAAAGGCCTTGGCAAATGTTCAAATCTTGCTCAACATCAGAGAATTCATACCAGAGAAAAGCCATGTGAATGCAATAGATGTGAAAAGGTATTTAACCAAGTCGTAATGTATTTATCACCATTGAATCCATACTGGACTCTCTAAGTGTAGTTGACATGGAGAGGAATTTAGCTGAAGGCCTGCATTTCTCCAACCAGAAAGAAACCCTGTGAATGTGATATGAAAAGGTCTTTAGTAACTGCTTTTCTCTAGCTAACTCAGAGGAGTCCTGGAGAAAAGCTTTGTGAATGTAGCCAGTGTGGGAAGAATTTTAGCCAAGCTCAGTCTTCATTCAATTCCCAGAGAATTTATATTATGAAGGAACTAGGATCAGGTTGAGGATAGACTGTCAAGAGGCAGGAAGAGATAATTAAAAATTTACTTCATTAAATGTGTTAACCTTTGAAATGACAACCAAACCCACGTGACTGAAGAGACTCAGTCAAGTATCTGAACTCTGCTAAGCCAGTTGACTTTATCAAGATTATTATTGGGAGAATCGTAGGCTTAGAGAAGACCGGAAGGAGGAATGTAATAAAGAACTTTATGTGATTGAATGTATAACTCACTTTCGCTGGATGAATAGAAACTTTCTGAAGTTTAAAATATTATAAAAAAAATTATAAAAGAGGACTATGTGTAGTTTGCAAAATCAGTGAGTGGAGGTAAATTCTAGTAAAAGAGGACTTGAAGTAGAGGTCAGAAATGCAATAACCAGCTAATTCTAGTTGGCAGAATCACAGTATTTAGAAGTCGAATGCTGTTGGCGAGGTAGAGATTGCTCACCTAAAGTTCCCATCACACCCAAAATATTTCATATCCTGTGATTTTGTTGTCACACACACCAGCCTGGACCATGAAGGCATGTTTGCACCTATGTGAAAACAGAAAGATAATGAGGCTGACAAGGTGCTCCTAGGAATCCAGTGCCTTGCACAGTGATGGGATATTATCTGAGGACTTTGGACAAAAGAGAGCGTTTGGTTTATCATAAGGTTATACTTTGTGCAAAAAAAAAAAAAAAACTCTTCTGTACAGTGCACTGTATGTTAAGCACTATACCAGGAACCTGACCGTGTGCTATTTCTATGCTCCTTTTAGAAATGGGCTCAGGGAAGTAATCTGCCAGCCAAGATGATGAAGTCAGGAGCAGCCGTGCTGCGGAGCTGAGTCGGTGCCCTGCGGAGCACAGAGACAGTGGCCGGGGGCGGTGAGTGAGGTGGGGTCACCGGTGAGGGGTGCCCAGCTTCTCGGGACGGAGGGGCTGTGGGGCGGGCCTCTCCTCACTGCTCGTGCTCTGGAGCTGCTGCTGAGTTCAGGTCCTGAGTGCACAGCTGTTGAGATGCTGTCCTGTTCTTTATTTCTTCATTTATCCTTAAAATAAAACCTCATCAACTTAAGCCCTTGAGGTTCATGCTGGTCCCTGCAACCTGAAAGGGCCTCATACAAAGCTTTAAAAGCTTCAAATATTTTTTTTTATTGTGAAAAGCATAATAAGCCATTTACAAGTCCCAAAGCACCAGAATTAAGAACACATAATTTTTATACACACATTTTTCGTACAAAAGGTTGATCTTTATAGGCATTTAAAATAAATAATCTGAAAATCAGCAGCACTGATTGCAAAATAAGTATCTTGCTCTCTGACTGTCTCAAGGTGACCAGCCTCCTATGTGGCCAAAAGGTGAGGCGTTTGACACCTGTTCTGAGCCTGGGTGGCGAGTCTCTGGCGGAGGTTCCTCACTCTCTCCATGAGATCCTGTTCCATGGCGTCCCAGTGCGTTTTTCTCTGGTTTAATGAAACTTGGAAACAAAATTTAAAATTAACAGTAGTTAGTTTGAGCAATGGTATAGCGTTTAAAGATAAATATGTTGCAAAGACCAATAATGAAATGAATATTCTAAACCAAATTTCTTATTCGGAAAAGCCTAATGTATTACCTGGTTCTATGAAGTTCCATTTACAAGTCAAATATTTGGTGGATTGAATGAATGCTATTAGAGAACTTATTTGCTTTTGGTTATCTTTTTCTTTTTTAATTTTATTTGGGAATATAGATTAACTTTTACATCAGGAAGAAAGCTTGTCTAAGAGAGAATCTGAGTTTTTTACAATAGTAAGTTTCTTCACCATGGTGTTTATTGTAGTGAGAAAATTCCAGGGTGCCAAAATTAATAGTGAAATGTACACCATGACCACTTTCTAATGATTCAATATAAATATCAAGTACTTTTTACAATGACCAACACAAGGCAAGTCCAGAATCAAGCTTAGAACATTACAATGTGTCCAAGTGAACAGCCATTTCATATTGATTTAGAGGGGTAGTAAATACTGGAATTCAATAAAGAAGCAACTTAAAAACATACTTCTCTGAAACTTTGTTACATACCCGAAGAGCTTCAATTTCTGAAAACTGTTTTCCTCCAAGGAATAAAACATTTATGCTTTTTCATTTTGTTGCCAAGTAAGAAACTTGCCAAATGTCAACTCGATTTTGAAGTTTAGGATATCTAGTTAAAAATTCTGATGTGTTGGAGTAGAGAACAGTTGAGAATCTTCTATACTTTCATCTGACTTATGCATGACTTTTGGTTAATTTCATATCCTGACACAGTGTTTAGAGATGCACATAAGAGTATGTATGTTGTGAGTGTATTTTATACCATACTGGAACTCATGTTGTTAGGTGTATTTTTTATAAAGCTGGTCTTTTGGGGACATCCTATAAAAATCTGTTCTCCTAAAATAACTCAAAGGACCTTGTGAAGCTCTGCTTCATTTATATGACAGTTTTATTGAAGAAGCTGGTTGAAGAGTCTGAGTTTCCTGTCCTCTCCCCTCCTTTTAAAAACAAATCAAGTCCTTTACTGGGGAAACTGTTAGCTCCTTTATGGGCTAACGCTGTGACTGCATTTCTGTAAGATGTTTCCATTCCATCCCATCCCATCCCTTCCAGAAATAAACAAAAAGCTCCAGTGAATCAAGTCAAGGGATCAAAAGGCAACTCATCAGCACAGAGCCCTTTGCCCTGAGCGGGTCTGAGCGAGCTGGCCCCGCAGTGCATCTTGGAGCACAGAGCAGACTCATGTTTCCAATGGTTGCTGGAGGCAGCTCCGCCCAGAAGAGTCGAGAAAACTCAAACACGGAACAGCTTTGAAAACTAAGCCTGAGATTTTCTTTTCACAAGGATGTAAGAAAATAGTTATGAATACCATTAATTTAGTCACTGACAGACTTCTGTCAGCGCCTCCAGCTATGTTTTGGGCAGCAGTGCTGGTGCTGAAGAAACAGAGTTGCATTAATGATATCTGGCAAACTTTCCTTACTTGGGGTTTGGTCTGACCCAGTTTCTCCCCAGCTGGAAACTTGAGAATCTTGCTGCTTCCACTTTAGGATTTCCATGGTCAGTACCCTGGGAAACTGGTCTCA